AAATTAAATGACAATGTTAATAAAATAAATGACAATGTTAATAAAATTAAATGACAATGTTAATAAAATTAAATGACAATGTTAATAAAATAAATGACAATGTTAATAAATTAAAGGACAATGTTAATAAAATTAAATGACAATGTTAATAAAATAAATGACAATGTTAATAAAACTAAATGACAATGTTAATAAAATTAATGACAATGTTAATAAAATTAAATGACAGTGTTAATTAATTAAAGGACAATGTTAATAAAATAAATGACAATGTTGATAAATTAAATGACATTGTTAATAAAATAAATGACAATGTTAATAAAATAAATGACAATGTTAATAAAATAAATGACAATGTTAATAAAATTAAATGACAATGTTAATAAGAGTAAAAAGGAGTGATTAAGGATTTGAAGGTTTGATGGAATAGTTAAAAAAACACTTCTGAAATATAAACCCGGAGTTTTTCAAGTGGAATTTACTATGGATTGCAAAGATATTTATGGATTTGATCTTCGCTTGGTAAATGTTTCACTGTTTCGATTTTCCTTTGTCTAGGTAGAGAGGTAGAGTCGAGGAATTGATTGTTTGGATTTGGGGCTGGTAAGACGACAATGCGTGAGGGTGGGGGTTAGGAGATATGTTTATGGTCAACAGTATTGTAGTTTGTTCTTCATATATCTTGCAGACTACAGCATACATATTTTGCAGGTTTTTACATTTTGAACCTTATTATGCCTTTATGAGGTATAGTCATATAATATTCACTCATGCTTGTGTCAATTAAGCTGACACAGAGATTAGTTTGTGTCAGAAATATCCAGAACTGCTTTCTAGCCAAATCACGGGGGATATATATATACAGGAGATACAGGGGATACAGGATATACAGGAGATACAGGTGATACAGGAGAATCAGGAGATACAGGGGACACAAGGGATACAGGAGATACAGGATTACATGAGATACAGATATATAGAAGATACAGGAGTTACAGGGGATACAGGAGATACTGGAGTTATAAGAGATACAGAAGATACAAGAGATACAGGATTTACAGGGGATACAGGAGATATAGGAGTTACAAGAGATAAGGATATAAAGGGAATACAGGAGATATAGGTGATACAGAAGATACAGGGGATGCAGGTTATACAGGAGATACAAGATTATACAGGGGGATACAGGAGATACAGTAGTTAGAGAAGATAAAGGGGATACAGGAGATACAGGGGGTACAGGAGATACAGAGAATACAGGGAATATAGGAGATACAGGGGATACATTAGATACAGGGAATACATAGGATTCAGGAAACATAGGGGATACAGGAGATACAGGGGATACAGGAGATACAGGGGATACAGGGGATAAAGGAGATACAGATTATGCAGGAAATACAGGTGATACAAGGGATACAGGAGATACGGGAGAGAATCAGGATATACAGGGGACACAAGGGATACAGGAGATACAGGATTACATGAGATACAGAAGATATAGAAGATACAGGAGTTAAAGGGGATACAGGAGATACTGGAGTTATAAGAGATACAGAAGATACAAGAGATACAGGATTTACAGGGGATACAGGAGATATAAGGGTTACAGGAGATAAGGAAATAAAGGGGATACAGGAGGTATAGGTGATACCGGAGATACAGGGGATGCAGGTTATACAGGAGATACAAGATTATACAGGGGGATACAGGAGATACAGGAGATACAGTAGTTAGAGAAGATAAAGGGGATATAGGAGATACAGGGAATACAGGGAATATAGGAGATACAGGAGATACAGGGGATACATTAGATACAGGGAATACATAGGATTCAGGAAACATAGGGGATACAGGAGATACAGGGGATACAGGGGATAAAGGAGATACAGATTATGCAGGAAATACAGGTGATACAAGGGATACAGGAGATACGGGAGATACAAGATATACAGGTGATACAAGGGATACAGGAGATATAGGGGGTATTGTTTATGGAAGAGATACAGGAGATTCAGGAAATACAGATGTTACGGGAATACAGGAGATGCAGGAAATACTGGGAATATGGGAGATACAGGAGATACAGGGGATACAGAAAATAAAGAGGATACAGTTGAGTTAAATAACTTTTTTTTGTGAACAAAAAATTATTATTGAGTTTACTATGGAATAGGCTCAAAAAAACCTAATTCTTTTTTTCAAAACCATTGATATTTTATATTAGTCTTAATCTTGTACAAATAGGATACAAACACAATATATAACTTAATTTTTGGTGGATGATCGTTGAACAGGGGTGAACTGAAACACAACCTGTACAATTTTGTCAAAAAAATTTTATTTTAACAAGTTAGACCAAAGATTAATAAAAATGATAAATAGGACAATAGATGTCGTATTTACAAGATCTGGATGAAACTCGTTCATTATAACCCTGAGGCAGAAGCCCAGAGGAGTTTCCCGCAGTCGGCGTAGAACAGGCTTTCTCTTTCTGCGCGAAACTCCTCTGGGTTTCTGGCTCAGGGTAAATGTGAACGAATTTCATCAAATCCTGAAAATACAAGATCCAGTGTCTTATCTGTTATTTTAATTAATCTATGGGTTTGTCTGTGTGTCTGTCAGTGTGTATTCAATTAGCGTCAAAACGGCTGAACCAATCGGGCTCAAACTTTGTGTGGGACCTCACATGAACCCAGCTGGATCGTTTATATGTATGCTCAAAATTACAAAATATTGATTTTTGTTAAATTTTAAAAATGCGCGAAAAAACTTTTTTGTTATTGTTTTGTATTGTACAAAGAGAAGATGCTTTCAGATAGAGCCACAATAAAAAATTGAAATAAAGGATGGACGCGAAGCGCCCTAAAAGCCTAAGAAGTTCAAAACAAACGAATTTTGTGAAGCCGGAAACTTGAATGTTTTTGGAACAAACCAAATCATCTATCTCATTATATGCAAATACTAATTTTCCAAACTTTTTTTGACAATTTCCTGTTCAGTCTCAGTTATCTTCTTCACGTCATATATTAGCGGTGTACCACCGTGGTAGAGAGAGGGGGACACCTTGTACCTACATTATATAAGGGAAATTTAGAACATTAATCCAATATATTCAAAAATTTTAAAACACATATCATTCATATTAAATTATTCTGTGAACTTTTCAAAAATTATAGTTTTTTGAATAGGGCGGTTATACAACCTTTTTATAATAAACTTTTTGCAACAAACTAAAATTTTTAAGTCCTGATATCTTTCCAACCAAATGTCGTAGACCTTTCATATTACAAACACTGCATTTTGTTAGATCAAATAGTCTAGGTTTAAAATATCAAAGGTTTGCACCATTAGGTTACAAAGATATAGGGATTAGATAGTTTTAGTTTGTGGAAACAACACAGTTACTTTACACTGTACAGTGTACAGTGTACATGACAGAATGCAAATGTAAAAATACTCATTGTGCAATGTAAAAATAGTTTAAAATTCAACGTTATAATACGGTGGTAGGCGATTTTATCAATATCATGAAGACAACTATTAATTTTAGTTTTGATTTATATCAAGCTTTTAAACATCATGGATAGACAAAAAAGTTCCGTTTAATTACTTTTAAAGCTTGTTAACCATTAAAATTAAATGATAAAGTCGTCTTTGTTATATTAATATAATCGCCTACCACCGGTGTCCTACTCGTGATCCGTGAAGGTTTTCTTGATAAAATTAATATAGAACCTGTCATTAAAGTTCGCTGTGGAGAAGTACATATCCATCAAGCAGTTATAAATTCCAAAATTCTAAAATAAATTATAATTTGAAGAGAGTGGATTGAACGTTAATATCTACTTTTTCTACTTGTTGTCACACAGAGAATTCAAATTAAAACAAGAATACTTATCATTATTGTAGTATTCAGTTTATGTAAATTCTTTTAGTTTCATGGAAATAGTTGAGATAATTTTATGATTTTTAGGAATTATTTTTAATGATTTTTATTGTTATTGATGTCATCATAAAGAATAAAGATATGATTATTCATAATAGGTAGTCTATTTTTTATTTTTTTTATTTTTAAAGTTTTCTTATGCACTGATAACCAGAAAACAATGGAATAGGGAAGACGACATTACAGCAATATTTAAATGTATTTGATGTTGTTACAAAGCAAAACGTTTTACTGTAGAAGACAATTATTAAATCACTAATTTAGTGAAATAAGTTTGTTTAGAATGTACACTTGCTCTGTCTCATGCTTGATTCTAAAAGTCGTCTTCCTATCTCAGATTATTCTGGTTATCACTTCAGTATGCTTACAGGGAGTGTTCGCGAAAAATGATGAGGGGTGTAGGCTGACATCGAATTGAATTCTATATTGATCGCTATACTAATTTGACTTTTATCTGTTGGGTCTTACAAGGAGAAAATGGTTAGACGCAGCGCAGTTTGAAGTAAAATTAATAGCGAATGATATATCGAATTTATTTCGACGTCAACCCTATACCCCCTTTCTTAAACGCGAACAATAGATTTAAGGAGTCTAAACTTAACCTTAACATGAAGAAGATGATGATCTGCATGAAAGTTTTCTCCCGCTGTGTCCTAAGTAATACAAATCAAGAATTCTAAATGAACAGAATGAAGATGACAGCAAAAAAGTTTTAAATTATTTGATGAAACTATTGTGTACTTTATCATTCTTGCTCACTTCATCGTGAATTTCAAAATGAACGTGCTATAAAGTAATCATCGTGATATAAAGTTAAATTAGCTGTACATTATAGCACGTGTGCTTAAAAGTTTTGATTGGTTCCCGGATTTTCTCCAAAAAATTTAGGACATTTCCAAAATATTTTTTTTTCAATTGAAATGAAAATAAAATTGAAATTGACTTTAATTTTTTACTTTTGCTTTGTTTAAAGCCTATCTGATCTGTAGAAATATAGCCATTAAAATATATAGACAAGTACACAAGCTTTCAAAATATTACCTATAACGCTATTATTTTGGCACGACGACGTGCTATAAAGTTTATGGATTTAAATTTTCTCCATATAAAGCTTCTGTCCAAAAACTTTTTAAAATCAAATATAAAAAATTTTGAATTTTTTTTTGATTTTATTATAGCCTATGTCAACCCCGGGCTATCAATGAGTTTGGCCAGCTATACGCAACATATATATGAATGTCTTGTTACAGGGTGTCCCACGAAACATGACAGTTAATAAATAGTCTAGAATGTCGTCTTCCAAATACTAGATTAGATTTAAAGACTTTTGCAGTTTAGTTCGGTAGCAAAATCTTTTGCTCCAATATATCTTAATCTGAGATCGATTTTACCATAATAAAACTGCCATATAATGTTTATTATAATTTTCTTTGGTATCAAACAACTTGAAAAATTATGGAAGAAGACATTTTAAAATATTTAGCAACTGTCATGTTTCGTGGGACACCCTGTACATTATATAGAAAAAAGAAGATAGATAAGTGCAATATTATAATAATCTTGATTGTTTAACACTTCAAGTTTCTTTCACAAAAGTTTAGCCAGCAATGAAAAGGTTTCCAGGAGAGAAGGGAGGGTGGAGGGACTAAATTCTTTTTTCAGTTCTAACCTCTGGTTTCTGAGTGTGTCCAAACTTGTTATCCACGCTGTACTGAAGGATGGTCCGGTTTAAAGTAGCAGGGGTTAATCTACATTAACAACAAAAATTTATGATATTATTATTTAAAATATTTTTTTTGTTTTATCGAGGCTTAAAACTGCACTGCAAGGTTTACTCAAGTGTGCCTAATATGGATGATAATGGATGATAATTGTTGCTTGATAAAAATACAATTCATCTCCATGCAAACTATAAAATAATGATTATTTGATGGTAAAGTGAACACATTCGGTCAAAAACGTGTTTACTATATTTGAAAAGAAATAAACTGAAGTAAATCCAGCTGTTCTTATCATGTACAGGGTGTTCTTATCATGTACAGGGTGTTCTTATCATGTACAGGGTGTTCTTATCATGTACTTCGCGCATGTTATTAACTCTATTATGTAAAATCTAATCTAAATGTTTGCTGTTTACGAATTATTATTTAGATTTATTTTATCGACTTATATTTAATCAGTAGGGCTTAAAACCCATTTTCCTTCAAATTTTCAACCCAATTAAAGATCTAGGAATTTTTATGGGCCAAAAATTTGTTTCTTGTGATTTACATTTTTAGAGTCAATAGTAGAAGTAATTGAGTCTGGATAAGAGAGGAAAATAATGTTGTCCCTAGGGTTATAAAATATATGTTTACCCTGCAAACATTGCCATACATAGCTCCAGGACAAGGAAGAAGAACTCCTCCGGCATCCCGTTCCCGTAGATATGTGCGTCAAACGCGTTAGTTCCGTGCAGGTAGTGATGCAGCTTGTGCGCATGCTCATAAACCTGATTTTTTACAATAAAGCTATTTGAGCGCAATCAAATCAATTTTTCTGAGAAAAATATTATGCTTATTCAGAAGAAATTCAATTCTAATACAAAAATTGTAAATAAAAGTTTTTTAAAGGAATTGAGTTTTTGCCACAAACTCAAAAAAATATCTGAGGGATCAGAGGCTCGGACATTGGGTTGCAATGATATAGAAGTTAAAAAATCTGTGTAATGCAACATTTTGTTTACTTTTGTATTAAGTCAAAACCAATTAGATTTTAAATAATTTAATTATTATTTGTTTTATGTTAACCCTATATCACGATTTGGGAAGGGGATATAAACAAAAGAAAAATGCTAAAACTTCTTCACTTTTTAAACTTCATTGTTGGAGGACAGTCAAATGACGGGTCGTTGTTTGAAAAAGTAAGAAATGGTTAAAATTTTTTTTTATTAATTAAGCTTTCTAATTGAAAAGTCCTTAAAAAATGGATGTGTCACATGTTGATATTTGTCAAAAATAAAAGTAATTACTTTTAAACATTTTTCCTACGTACTTTTTGAAGTTTTGAAAAATCCTCCCTTGCACCCTATCTATATAGTATAAACATATAACCATTAAAGATGAGCTATAATTTTTTTTTAATGAGCAGGGGGGTTTCCCCCCCAATCTATATTAGATAAAAACAGCCCAATCAGGATAGGGTTAAGGGAAACTTAAAAAGATTTTGTAGGGTAAAACATAAAACCATCCAAACAAGCTAATTTTTTTAATTCAAAAGTCAAAATATTTAACTTTTTGTTAAATAATTTTTTTATTTACCTTTGGAAGATGGGCCATCCTAAAAAAATTAATAATTAATGGTTTTTTAGATTTCCATTTTAGGTATTTTAGCATTTAATTTTTTCACCATTGTCTCTTATTACAATGAGTTCTCGGTATTTAATATTTATTTTTACCATATTATCCCTCTGGTGAAATTCCCATCCCCTTCTCCCGGTTACAGTAATAAAATGGTAAAATACAGTGGTCGGCGTTTATATCAATACAATGAAGACGACTTTTCTGTTTGAGTTTTGATTTATAACAAGCATTTCTCTAATAACTAGTTTACAAGTAAACAAAGAGAGAGACTGTTATTCGACGCTTCTTTTTTTCCCGTGTTTATGAGTTTCTACACTATTTGAAAGGTAGGAATGAAAAATTCAAAACGAAAGTCGTCAATTCGTTGTATTGATAAATACGACGATAACTATATACCTTGATATCATGCTTGATACGGCAGGGGTTATGGCAAAGTATGAGTCTATCGCCCAAATCCAAACTGGGATTTTAAACTCAGAATTGAACAGGTGAAGAAGGAGGATAACGTGGTAAGTCTGAAAACAAATGTTAAACGAACTGCAAGCGTCATTTCAAGTGACTCTAAATACAAATAGGACAATGCCCAATAGAAAGTGTACGCTGTGTTAAGTTACGTACAGTCTGAACTCAAAATAGCGCATACAAGCGGGTTTTGATACGTTTAAACACACATATCTCTGTACTCGACGAACACAAGAAGTAAATTTACGCAAAAAATAGGAAATGTCGAAATTTAAGAAATCTTACCTTTGTGTTTAAAAATCCCCAGACTACATGGATAAGGGTCTGTTTTACAGTGAAAGTCTGAAAAAAAATTCCTCCTTTTCTTCAATATATGACTATAGGGGTGCACTACAGGAGATATTAGTTCCAAAACTAACACTTGGTCCCATTTCTAGCACTGAGTGTTAGAAATGGGGCAAAACTGCAAAGTTATCTTTTTTAAAAGTATCTTTAAATCCAAGACGAGTAGAACAAAATTACACCATATATTTATAAAAATTCCTAAAACTATATATTGAAAAAATAAATGTCAATTTTAAACTAATAATATGGGGTGGGAGAATTAGTTTTTGATGATTCTTGATTTCATTTTCGAATATATCCTTATTTTGAAACAATTACCGGATTTCCGCTCATGTCGCTTTTTCGGAACATTTCCTGGTTTTGAGACAGTTACAGGAATTCATACCAATGTCAATTTTCAAGCATTTACGCACAAGATTTTTTGATAAGGTAAAATATAATCAAAATAGGAAATAAAAACAAATTATTCTTTTTTAATTTAAATATCAGTATAGCATTGAGAAATAAAAATATTAATATAATTTATTCTTACAATATAGATTTAACTAGAAATGCGGGAAACTGTTTGTTTAAAATGCTTGAAAAAAATCATCGATATTCCCTAATTTAGCAGAGAAAATATGGCAACTTAGATTCTAGAAATAATTCAGAAATTAATTTTGTCTTTATAAGATAATTTTTGTTTTCAGTGATTTATTTTGTAAGTTATGAAAGTTAGTTTTATTTTGAATTGCGGATTATACTCAAAAACGGGAAAGTGGGTGTTGTCTCAAAAATGCGACAATGTTTCAAATTCAGGATATGTTAGGCCAAGAGATTTAATATAAAAGAAACTCCTGTTATAATTTTGATTTAATAAAAAAAGTTATTGTTCTTACTAGAAGATATATTATTCCATATAAGATAATTTGTGTTTTCAGTGATTTATTTTGTAAGTTATGAAAGTTAGTTTTATTTTGAATTGCGGATTATACTCAAAAACGGGAAAGTGGGTTTTGTCTCGAAAATGCGACAATGTTTCAAATTCAGGATATGTTAGGCCAAGAGATTTAATATAAAAGAAACTCCTGTTATAATTTTGATTTAATAAAAAAAGTTTAAAATTGTTAATTGTTGTCCTCGTCACGTTTAATAAAACGTTGGTTATAGTTTTTATATCGACTTTTACCCTGGATAAAGGCCGGGATATGGGCCGGGATCCCAAAAACCCAATCTTTCAATTTGTTCCCATTCTAACACTGAGTGTTAGAAATGGGCCAAGTGTTAGTTTTGGAACTAATGTTCCCTGAACCACAGTATACATTTAATTTAAATGATTAATCAGTTTTTATGAGTAAATAGCAAATCATCATGGGATCAAGGATTACAGACAAAATTCTTTGATTATAAAAATCGACTGCAAGTTTGCAACAATTTAAAAAGCTTTCTGCTTTTTGTTGGTCATGGCTGTATTTATTTACCTTTGATGGAGTAAAATAGTGGCAGTAGAAACATATTGCTTGATCTATTGTGAAGAACCCAATGATAAACCACAAGTTGACCGGCAAAGAAAGAACATCCAGACTCGCTATTTAAAAAATGAAATTGCATTTTAGGTAAACGAGTTTTAATTCATTCGAATGGTTTTTTGGTTAAAAAGGATTTTATTAACTATGCTTTATCAGCTTTTCTTTTAATTGAAAATCCTTTTTTCTAAGTTTATTTTTTATCTTGAATTTTACAACAAAAATACTGTAAAAGTGTTCTTCACTCGCCTGTATTATTATTTTTAATGATTTTCAAAATTTTACAAAAATTTTTAAGGCACTTTGCGCCCATCTTCTATTTCAACTTTTAATTGTGGCTTTATCTCAGAGTATCTTCTCTTTGTACAGTACAAAAACAAAAAAGTTTGCGGATTTCATAATATTTTTTCAAGAATATACAAAATTTTACAAAAATAAAAAACTTTCAAATCACATTTTTAAAAGTTTGATCTTTCATAAACCTCCCTTGGGGTCAGGTGAGGTCCCACACAAAATTTGGGCCCGATCGGTTCAGCCGTTTTGACGTTTATTAGATACAATGAAACAAACAAACACCCAGACAGACAAGCTAAATTTATACATTGATTAAGAAATGTCTGTGCATAAAAAGAGTGATTTTTAATGAACTTTCGCTATAATTTAAGAGGGGAATTGTAGTACATTGAAACCTTAATCTGATCAATAATGTGGAAGATATCGTCGTTTTGCTAACTTGAAAAACTTGTATTCTGACACTTTTATGATTTTTTTTCTGAAGCAAAATTGCGAAAGCGTCGTGAATTCTTGACCAATCAAAGCTTTTAAGGGTATCATTGTAAATAGAACATGCCATATAAATTGAGGAACACTTAAATATCGTCTTTACCTGAACTCAGAGATATTCCAACTATATTGAACAGATTTAACAGTATATCAGCAAAGGATCTTGAATAATTTATTGGTGTTTAATATTATATATTATGCAGGGACAGAGGGCGGGGGTTNCTAAACTGTAGCTAACTAAACAAAACCTAAACTTGAGCTAACTGAACAAAATCTAAACTGTAGCTAACTAAACAATACCTAAACTGTAGCTAAGTAAAACAAATTCTAAACTGTAACAAACTAAACAATATCTAAACTGGAGCAAACTATACCATATCTAAACTGGAGAAAAATAAAGAAACAAACTTACTCACACTTTAAAAAATTTAGATTGAAGGAAACTTTAAGAAAAACTCTAAAATGGAGCAAATTTATCAAAAAATACTTTCATCGAAATATGCTCTAATGTCCAAATTAAGATAAAAATTAATTACGTGATTATATCTTCGCATTAGGGGCGTATACAAGGGAATATTTAGCCCTCTACCCCCTGAAAAGTACAAACCTAAATAGAAGGGTAAATTTGAGGTTTCCCTGGAGCGCTGCGGCTACGCAAAGCAGCCGAGCTAAAAACAGGAACAGAAGCTGCGTTTTGTAACTGAAACTCTCCTTTTTCATGAAAATAAAAATTAGATATTCAAAGCTAAACTTGATTATTTGGATTGTGGATTTAAACATACCAAGAATAAAAAATATTTATTTTTACAATGTAATGAAAAAGTGAATTTGAATTTTATCAAAATCTCGGTTGGAAAAAGAGTAAAGACAAAATATTTTTTAATCCAGGGTGTCCCAATAAACATGGGAATTCAGTGACGAATTGGATATCGTCTTTGTTATGAATTAGCTGCTAGAGTTTATTTTATTAAAACGGTAAATGGCTGTAAAAATGTGTCTCTTATGTCTCCGCAAGATGATCAGTGAAGACGGACAAGCTTACTCTGTTCGTAACTTCGTGTACTGTAATTTTCTTGTTTTACTAAGTATACAACCGTATGCAGTCAAAACATAAACAAACTAATTGTAAACATAGCAGACGCAAATCTTACGGATTACAGCTTTCTCACTATACTAAACAAAAGACGATATCGAATTCGTCACTGAATTCCCATGTTTATTGGGACACCCTGTAGTATCCCGAATAAATGCCTAGAAATATTATGGCAATTTATCTTTTTAGATAATATTTTAATTGTTTCTATTTGAATATGTGACATTCTTTAAACAGCAAATATTTGATGAACCTTAAACATTGAACATAGGAGATAAAGGAATTTATTGCACTTTTATAAACAAATTGAACGAAATGATAAGAAAAAAATATATATAAATAGATCAGGTGCTTTCTGAAGAAAATTTGCATAAAAAGAAAAAGATTAAAACATACCGGCAAAAAATTAATATACAAACAAGTAATAAAGATTTAATGATAAATACAGTTTTTAGATAACCTTGGATTTTATTTTAGTGTTTTGTGTTTAAGTCATTTTCGCACACAAAAATGTTGAAATAGAACAAAGATAAAATTTAAACGAGACATCTTAAACATTGACTTGTAAGTCAATTAACGATAAGAAATTTTTCCATATAATAATACAATTAATATAGTAAACATAATTGTGATCTTTCACATAATAGATATTTTCCAATTATGATGATTTCATAATGGAACCCAGCGTTGCCCAGGGTACCTACTACTCATCTATTCCCCCTGTTTACCCGCGCTCGGTCTTAAATTACGATTTCAGATATTTTTCCCCAGAAAAATTGACCCACTTAAATCTGAAAAAGAACAGTTCCGTTCTTCTTCCGAGTTCCACAATCAAAATTCGAGGCCAATCAGGGGGCATTGCCGGAAATCAACTTTTAAAAGCTTAACTTATTTTTAGAAAGAAAGCGCAAAAGCACTTAAGTAATTTCTGGTAGACAACAATGAAATGATCATATACATAATGGGACAAATAAGCATACAGTTATCATTGTTTATGATTTAAGATAAGTCGCAGATTTGAACTTTGAATTCAAAATTGTTTTTATGGATAGTTAGCAAATAAAGAAGAAGAGACGGCTTACGGGGGGGGGGGGGAGGTGAAGGGGGGACGTCCCCCCTGGAAAATTGGAGGGACGTCCCCATTCCTGGAAAACTTAGATTACGCCCCCCCCCCCTGGAAAAATTAGGAACGCTTAAGAAGAGAAAGCAGGCACCTTCTAGTCCTTTAATTTAGATTTTATTTAAGAATAGAAAAAAAAGAAAGAATATTTTTTATAAAAATAAAAATCAAGCAAACTTACAATTTCCACATTCGTTCAAAGATTTAGTTTACCTTTTCTTTTGCATGAATGTTTCTCATACCAGACTTCAATTTATCCAACTCAGCGTTGTACCTAGGTGTGGGTTATAACGAAAAATGTATTGTATAAGTTTCTACAGTGGTCGGCGTATATATCAATACAATGAAGACGACTTTTCTAATTAAGTTTCAAATCACATGTGTACATGTAAACAAAGAGAAGCTGTTAATTGAAAACTTCTCTTTGTTTACGTGTTTATGTGTATCCATATTCCATGCTGTTTAAAATCAAGGTAGAAATAGCAAATACAATCGAATGTCGTCTTTATTGTATTGATATATACGACAGCGACTGTATGTAAAGTGTAAAGTGCTGTTAATAATGCAATGCAATGTAAAAAGACTGTGACTGAGGGTAAGTTCAAGTAACCTTACATGCAAAAATTGCCAAGCCTAACAACGGTATCCTTGAAACCTTTTTCTGTTCAATAATGTAAAGATATTCACGTTTTTCAATCTTAGTTTGTTTCTAGCATCAGTTAAAAAAGTAATTTGCAAATAGAATTTTGTGTGAGATCGTGATCTATATTCTAGAGTTGTACGTCGCTTTTCATACATTTTTTAAAATTCAACATTCTATACAGTGATAACAAGAAAACTCTAAAATAGGAAGACGACTTTTGTTCACAAGTTATAACTTAAATAGTCTAATAAGCATGAGACACAGCAATTGTGCAGTGTAAACATATTACTTAATGAGTGACTTAATAAGTGTCTAGTAATTAAGTCACTAGTAATGCGTTGTAATAACATAAAATGCAAAAGTATTGCTATAACGTCGTTTTCCTATTTAAGTTTCTGGTTATCACTGTAATCTTTCAGTCCCTGTACCTGCTTTTCCAGTACATTTTTCAATTCATCAGGGTTTCTCATCCATTGCGGTAAAGATTTAATGGTTGGTATGTGCTCAAAATAAAACTACAAAATAAATCAGCACAATTATTTTTAAATATGGAAATATGCTTTTAAATGAGAAGCTCAAAAAGTTTCAGATGAAAAAAAAATCTATGTAAGAAAGTCACAGGAAAAAAGTTTATGGAAGATAAAACCTGGAAATAAAAACTTTCGTAAAAAAGTCCCAATTTTCTAAAGTCCTAGAGCAAAATGTCACTGGAAAAAAGTCCAAAGTTTTAGATTCCTGTAATTTTTTCCCTTAAAATAATATGGGGGCTGCCAATAAAGTCTCAGGAAAAAAGATCACAGGAATTAAAGTCCTAAAGAAAAAAGTCCTATGTCTTGGGAAAATGAGTCTCAGACGTTTTCATAAAACGGACTTTTCTTCTATACATCTGCATATTGAATATTCCCATGGGTGTTTTTAATATCAAGTCCTTTTCCCATGATTGTAAACATCTTTTATTTTCATGCATTTTCTACTGTAGAGAACTTTTTTGTATAAAATGATTCTGGAAACAGAAAAAAAGTCCTAAAAAATAAAGTCTCAAAATGGTAGGACTTTATTTTCAGAGAATTTTATTTGAAGGAATTTTTTAGTGCGATTAGCGAATAGGAATGGTAAAAAAACGTTCAGGACTAATTTATAAAATGTTAGTATTTCTTTTTTTAAACACTGTTTGTATTGTATACAGCTTTCTCAATCTGTCCTAAAGTCGGTCAAGAACTTAAAATGAACAGAAGTTTACAGCGTTAGATTTGTCAACTATGAATTCTGTTAGATCAAATCACCTAAGTTTGAAATATCAAAGGTGTACACACAATTAGGTTGAAAAGATAAAGAGATTAAAAAATTAAGGTTTGTGGCAGAGACCCAAATCCATTAAGTCTATAAATTCCTAGTTTTCCTAATCATAATTGTCCTTTATTAAAGTAAAATCGACTCAGTAATGATCGTTTAACTATTCCATACTCCTTTTTTTCTTTACTTGGCCCATCTGATGATCAAAGGCGCAACCAGGTTATTTTGTAAAGGGGGGGGGGTCACAGCTATAGAAAATAATGTATAAACTATGCGAAAAGATCTCTGTTCTTCGCGTTTAAATTTCACATAGTCCTGCTTACCTTTTCTTGTTTGAAATATTTTTACAACCATTCATCTAAGTCTTACTCATATATTTATATCATTTAAAAAAAAGTATGCAGTATGCAACTGCAGTACACAGTTTAGAAAAATTATGGCTGTGCAGTGTGCAAAGTATAGTTTTTAAGATAAGACAGGAAACTATTCTTAAAGTAGGCTGGCTGGGCACATAAAAATATATTTAGACCAAATAGGTTGTTAAGTATTTATTAAAAATGTTTAAAATCATTAGTTTTAATTATTTACAACTACTTTACAGAGAAGTTAGAGAATTTCACTTTACCATGGGTTCCATTTACTGTTTCGCCCCGATATAAGGATTCACCTCTAATTAGAAAATGAGATAGATGACACTGCGATGCAATTTCTATTGGTTCAGAATAGACACCAAACACATGACTGAACCCTGATTGGATCAGGCATTAATGGAATCGAATTCAAGTGTGCCGTGGTTAAGTAAAAATTTTAATTTTCCGAAAAAGTATTTGTACACAATTTTATCATCTTTTGAGATGAAAATGCTCAAATTTTTTCCCGAAAACTTCGCAGAACGGGTGGTTATTTTAGATAACTGTCCCAAGGGACTTTAGATAACCTAACCTCCCTCTGTTGAGAGAATCATAGGTCAGTAATGTTGGTCAAAAGGCGGTAAAAATATATATTGCATATGCATATAAAGCCATGGTCCGTAACTGAGGAAGGGGCAACGTACCACCTGCCCCCCCATTTTAAAATAAAATTTCAGGTGAAATAAATTACCCCCCCCCCTTAACCCCGACCAAAAACTTTTAGTTATGAGGCTGAATAGAGCAATTGACATTTAGTAGTTGAATAATATGTGTGCATTAATTTTCCTTGAGAAGCTGTATGTTTCCCTTGATAAAAACTGTCATTTTCTGAAAATATGGATTAGTTCTTAAAAATAAACGAACGCAACTGTTTTTCAAGAAACGGAACAAAAAAGAACGTGAAATTCAAACGAAAAAATCAAACAAAATCAAGTTAACGGTCATCATACTTGTTTTATATTAAAAATATTAATGTTCAAAAGAATGTTTTTAAACATTCGTAAGACAATGGCAAAAGATAAAGTTAACACCTCCCTCCCCCTTAACAAAATTTATAAAAGCCCATCCCTGAAGCTAGTGATCATATTGACCATATCTTCTTTCAGAATCAAAATTTGGCATTATGTAAGAGGTGAAGTGCAAACATTTTCTAAATTTGTATATGAGCATGTGCTTTCTCTCACTATGCCAAATTTTGACCCTAACAGAAGATATATGCAAAATACGACCTGAAGCAATGGGGTCTTAAGATATTGCACAGTTTACTAATTTAGGCTTTCAGGGCGCTTCGCATCCATCATTTATTATGATTGTTGACCTTTTCTCTTTGTTTACAATGTAAAACAAAACAAGTTCGCGGTTTTATAAAAGAGTTTTGTGGATTTTACTAAAGGGGATGTCCTATTNCCTAATTAGTGTTCGAATTTCCTAAAATAAAATTGAATTTTAATGACCTCTAAAGACCTTAACAAATAGAAAATGTTTCAACTATGGCTTTATGTATATCAAACGAAAGATAGGAACCCAATGAATACAGTAGCAGCAACGAATCTAGTGTTTGACCCTCTAATGACCTTTAACGACCTCTAATGACCTAAAATGACCTCCAAAATGAAAATGTTTTAACGATGGCTTTATGTAGATCAAACTAAGATTAGGAACCCAGGGAATTTAGTAGTAGTAACGAATCTAGTGTTTGTCCCTCAAATGACTCTCTAAACGACCTCTGATGACCTAAAATGACATCCAAAATGAAAATGTGATCACTATGGCTTTATGCATGTCAAACAGAAGCCAGAAACCCATGGAATACAGTAGCAGCAACAAATCTAGTGTTTGACTCTCTAATGACCTCAAACGACCTTGACCTCCAAAATGAAAATGTTTTAACTATGGCTTAATGAATACAGTGAATCCCAGATTTAAGAATATATAGACCGTCATAAGTTTTTTGATAATTCTGAAGAAACTTTTTTTAATTTTTAGTTAAAGGTAAATTAATAGCCCTGAAATATGAATACAATTTAATTAATATATTGATATTAAACTCATTTTTCCGCGGCATTTAAATTATAAAAAGCTCTTGCTATGTATACATATGTCTGGGATTCACGGTATCAAACAAAAGCTAGGAACCCAGAGAATACAGTAGCAGCAACGAATCTAGTGTTTGACTCTCTAATGACATCTGATAACCTCACGACCTCTTATGACCTAAAATGACCTCCAAAATGAAAATGTTTCAACTATGGCTTTATGCATATCCAACAAAAGCTTCGAACCCAGGGAATACAGCAGCAGCAACAAGTTTTTTGCTACTACTATATTCCCTAAGGTCCTCGCTTTTATTGGATATGCATCAAGCAATAGTAAAAACATTTTCATTTTGGAGGTCATTAGAGGGTCAAACACTACATTCGTTGCTACTACTGTATTCTCTGGGTTCCTAGCTTTTGTTTGATATACATAAAGCCATAGTTAAAACATTTGCATTTTGAAGGTTATCTAAGGTCATTTGAGGGTAGGGTCAAACACTAGATTCGTTGCTGCTAATGCATTCCTTGGGTTCCTAGCTTTTGTTTGATATTAATTAAACCATTAAGTCATAAAAATTCAATTAAATTTTAATTTAAGAAATTCGAACACTTATTAGGCGTGCGGCCAAAAAAATTAAAGGATTTGAACCAAAAATGAAAACAGGGACCCCCCCTCATCAAATTGGACATCTCCTCCATCCCCTTTTGTAAAATTCGAATTGTTGGAGGCACATTTTTGAAATTTTGATCATCCTGTAGGACCATAACCATTCCATTAAGTCTTAATTTTTTAATTGGTGTATTTATGTTATTGTATCACTGGTGTGATAATTAAAACATCTCGATCTTATGTCTATGTTGGCCATTCATCTTGGAACTGTTCAGGTTCTTTGCATTTTTCACATCTTGTGGAATTTCATTCCACATATTAACACAAAAAAATTTCGATATATTTCATTCTTTACAGCTGGAACTTTCAAGTTTAAAGGATCACTTGACTGCCTGGTTTGAATACCCCTTCCTTCTTCTGGTAAATACGCAGAGCTGAACCATTTGTTTTTGTCCACGTGGTCATGTCCATGTAGAATTTTCCAGAAAAATCTCCTCGCTTTCTTCTGTTCTCCAGGGAGATCAAACCAACCTCTTTCAGCTTCTCTTCATAGGTTGACCCTGAGAGTCCTGAGGTCATTGTTATTGCTCTTTTTTGAACCCTTTCTAGAGTTCCTTTGTCTTTTACTAGCCAGGGATTCCAGACTTGAACACAGTATTCAAGGTGGGGCCTGATAAAGGATTAGTATAATGAAATCCATACAGTTTTATTTCTGTAGGAGAAAGATCTGGCCATCTGGCCTAAAATACTATTAGCCTTGGCTGCAGCAGTAGTACACTGTTTAAAAGGTTTAAGATCCTCCTGTATCATTACACCAACATCTTTCTCTTTGTCTGAAACCTCCAGATTTACACCATTCATTTGGTACCCATATCTTGGATTATTCTTTCCAATGTGTAAAACGATCATTTTTATCCATTGAAATGCATCTTCTAGTCCTGGGCCCATTGAGTTAATACATTTAATGAACATTGTAGTGCTTCTCTATCTGTATCTGTATTAACCTACATTCCATCTTTAAAGTTACAAAATTAGGTCCAGGATGGTTTGGCTGTTTATTGGATACAAACTAACAAACAAACACCCAAACAAACAAACAGACAGACAAGCAAAACGTATGTAACAGTTCTTAAATAGTGGAAGTTTAATGAAAATTTAGGCCCAATCGGTTCAGCAGTTTTAACGTTTATTGAATACAAACAAACAAACAAGATAGACAATATATTCATCCATTTTAGTTTTTAAACTTTATATCTTGTTTCGCGCCTCATGACGATCCTCAGTAGTCAAAATTCTTTGACCAACGCATATATATATCTAAAGATGTAGACAACATTGTTAAAACACTATTTATTTATTTCAGATAATATGTTTAGTTCTTAATCCTAAATGAACAGAAAGTTTTACGTTACTAAAAAAACAAACACAGATTTTAATTCAGCTAAAAATTACAAAAATATTAGATAGGCATCTTTGCTATAATTTTTATAAAGTTTAATTACGATTGAGTAATTTTTATAAAAAGTAGCATTCAAGCGGACATTGGAAATTTGCATAAGATTAGTAATAACGAAGATTTAAACTGTTCTTTTTCAGTACTTTGATCTATAGAGGTTACATTAAGATAATGTTAGCGTATGTTCTGTACAGTTTACAACATGTACTGTACAGTAAACCAAATTAACTTTGTTGTGGACAACAAAGAAGTTTGCCACAATTTCTAAGATCTGGCCTGAAATATAGCTTTGACCTGATCTAAGGCTTCCTTCATGTTCTCCCTGTAGAATATCTCCATAAACTTTATCCTCCACTCCCTCAATACGGGCAAACTCTCCTGCAACAAAACAATAATATTGATAACATTCATTTCACAGTTTACACTTACAGTGTTGAATATTTTTCAAAATCAACCGCCTCGGTTGGAAAAACAGAAAAATTGGACATGAAAAGGCGAGTTTTTTTTTTTTTAACTTTTACTCAACATTATATTTTACTTCACCTAAACATAATTTACTTTTTCCAGTTTAAAGGGAGTGACCGGCAATGAATGGTAGTTGAACTGAGAACGCAGTATTGTGGAGAAATTTCCAATATTAGGGTTCATTTGAGACATAAACGTTTTAATGATGCTCAATTAGGGAGTTTGAGCGCAAAGTCGACGTTTAAAATCATCCATTTGGGTGGTTCCGTTGCCAGAATCGATTTTTTTTTAAATTATAAAATGGCGACGACATCAGATGTCTAGGAACATACATTTCTCAACTGATTTTTTTTTCAATAATTCAATGTTATTAAATAATTTTTCAAAAACCGATTCTCAAAATCATCCCTAAAAAATGAACAATCTATAAGGATTTAAAGATCGAATTTGCGCTCTTGCTGAACAAATATGCACCGTAAACACGTCTCAGAGGTCTCAAATGATTCCTAAAAAATTTCTCCACAAGTTAACTGATCCATACAGTTAACTTCCATGATCCATGCCAGTCCTTCCCTTTAAGCAAATAAAACACTAACACACATACCTAACTATTATTTTAAAATGGGAGAATTTTTTTTTGAGGAAAATATACACTCATGCAGTTTATTCAGGCAAAGAGATAAGTAATTAATGACAAACTTGACTTGACTTTTACGATGGAGAAATGGTTAAATAAATCTTTCAAGGTTAAGAAACTGAACCATTACCTCAACTCTTAACTCAAATTCCTATTATTTATGCCAAAAATCTGACATACTCGTTACTCAATTTCAACCCTTTTTTTGTACAAATATGGAGATTTCAAATTTTTGTTGGGTCATCTTCATGAAATTACGCCATTATCATCTTTTTAATAAAAAATTGTTTCCCCCATTCAGTTATAAAGTTTTTTTTAAGACTTAATCTCAGGAAAAAGAAACCTCCTCCAGGTGAATTTTTTTGTTTTTACCTCCTTCGTTTTATGCACTTTAAATCCTGGAATAAAATCAGGAAAATGAAAGAAACTTTTAATGTAAGCATTTTAAAATGAACGAAGGGCTTTCAGAAAGAGCTAAGATTTAAAAAGAAGGGGGGTGGAACGAATAATTTTTACCTTGCTTGTGTCCTTGATGTTGAGGAACTCATGGAAAAACTGTTTCCAGAGTTCGGTAGCTTTAAAGAATCTTTTATAACTTCCTTTAACCTCCCAGACATCCTTCGTCTAAAGATTGTCAATATTATTATTGTTCATTCCAACTTGGCATATTCTCTATAGAGGTGAAAAATGATGAATGACTTCTCGAGTGTAGTCGAGATTGCACTGTAGAAGTAGTTCAGTAGTTCAACTTACTATATACCTAACCAATTACTTCTCATATTCATTAAAACCAGGTCGCAATGATTCATGCCCATTGTCAGTGCTATGTTTCCATATTACACAGTCCTGTTTTTAATATTCTCACATTTTTTGATTTGTTTTAACTCTTTAATTTTCTCCCTTTCGAAAGGGACTCACGATATACTTTCAACTGACACTTTAGAGTTGCATGTCGTGCTAAAATGTTAGGATATCTTATTTTCCTATCTAAAAATTAATATTTTACATTTGTGGATTCTTTATGAGTGACTTTCGGCTTCTTACAATACAGACAAAAGAATAAAATTAAGATAATCAAAAAATATAAAAACAACAATATCTTTAACACTTTAAATCTGGGTCAGTTGAATTAACATCAATTGTTTAATGTTATATTTCAACAATTGGCCAGTCTTGATTTTGCAATTTTACTCAATCGCTGTAGCTGTTTTTTAACGATTAATAATCCCGATTTGAAAATCAAAATCGTTGAATAAATCCTATTTACCTTGACCACCTCCATATATGTTCCAAACAGGAGACAGTAAGCTGTAGCAGCAATACCGTAGTAGTCAATATGTTCCCTCCATTCTCTTCCTTCTCTCATCTCTATACACCGTATACCGTCCGTCTTTACTTCCTAGTATACAGGGTTAAATAGTGTATATTTTCTCGAAAAATCATTTCCCCACACTCTGTTGAAAATTATTTATTTTCTCCATAAGTTTTATTTTTGCTTAAGGATTTTATTTGCTAAATTAGAAAAAATTAATGATTTTAAGGAGAAAATAGTTTTTTTTATTTTGGAGAAAAATATCAATAAGAACTTGCCTTTATAAGTCCAATTTCCTACCCCGGGGTGTAATTCTTTAAAACATACATTCCTGTACACTACAGTGTACACTGTACAGGGTGTCCCACACCATATTTGATCGTGTACAGAATTGGGATTTTCAGGAATACGCAGAAATTTTAAAAAGAAAATTGTATAATGTATAAAACTAATAATTAAAATGAATGTGAATAAACGTGAAGGTAAAAAGTGAACAAGTTGAACAAGTTGAACAAGTTGAACAAGTTGAACAAGTTGAACAAGTTGAACAAGTTGAACAAGTTGAACAAGTTGAACAAGTTTGAACAAGTTGAACAAGTTGAACAAGTTGAACAAGTTGAACAAGTTGAACAAGTTGAACAAGTTGAACAAGTTGAACAAGTTGAACAAGTTTAAAGTGTAGATAAGTGAACAAGCGAACAAGTGAATAAATAAAAATTAAACTTACCTCTGTGAAAACTATTCCCTTTGGAAGAATATTTAGATCTATTGCTCTCCCAAAGTCAATCAATTGTACAGAGGTAGAAGAGAACTAAAGAAAGACGTTGTACCAATTTAAATAATTCCTTAATTTTCTTTTCGTGGATTTCCGGTGTATCCCCGGAATTAAACTTAAATCCTTCCCTTAAAAAGTTTCCAAAGTAGAAATCAAGTTTAGTCCCAATCAATAGTTCCGCCTTTAGTTAAATTTATTTTGAATAAATTAAAAAGAATCACCAAAATTTTCAAAGAAGGATATAAATATATAAAGCGAACAAATAATAAAATAATCAAAATAAAAGAAAAAAATATGATTTATTTAAATAAAACTTACGTCGAATAATTGTTCAGCTGAGTCTGCTCCGTCTCTAATACAAGGAACGTCCTAAATTATTGAAGTTTATTTCTGGAGATATCCCATAACAAAAATTGCATGTTCCACTACAATTTACAAGACTATAAAAGGGTAGAGGCCGAATTTAAAGGATTTGAGCCGCTTGCTCAAGTATGGTTGGTTCTACTTAAAATTGTCTTTAATGTTTCAAGATTTAAACCGGCGCTCATTTGAAACCGGTTTTTGGCGGATTTAAGACACGGCTCAACTTCATTAAATTCGGACTCTAACGTAATTTCATGTGACCCCCATTTGAAGAGCGACATGCGTGATTTACAACGTTACTTGTAAAATCTTAATCTGATCAATACTGTTAAAGATATTATAGTTTTTCTAGGACAAAAAAAAGGTTTGATCCTGATAATTTTCTTCGTTGTTTCTGTTGCCGAATTGCGCAAGTCATTTTAGAAGAGAAACCCCATCAAGTTTTTAAAGAGAAAAATATAGATAAATCATCAACTTAAAAGAGATAAAGATAATTTATCATTTTTTTTAAACTATGCAGAGCTTCAACTATATACAGAATCTCAATAGTCAAGTACATGCTTACATTCTCCATGCTTCGGGTGTTCTCAATCTGAAAAATAAAATAAAAAAATGATTGCCAATTATTTTTAGAAAAATATGATAGTACTGGTGAAATGGAGTATCATTTACAAAACAAGATACCGTTTCATGTAATTTAACTTCTTATATAGTCTTAGAACCCCTTTTAGAAAATATCTATACGGCCTTTCCTTTCTTTTTAAATATCTAGATCTAAGCCCGGATCGACCATTTTAATTTGACATTGGGATGATTGAGTTAATTTTTTTGAATTTACGATTTTTGGTGATTTAGGGGGAAAAAATGACAAGTTGGACTGTCGGACATCAATAGGCAATTTTTTTCTTCTTTTAAATACTTTTTAGATACTTTTTAGATACTTTTTAGATACTTTTTAGATACTTTTTACCTAAAAATTCATTTATTATTCCCAATCCAGCAAATAAAACCCCAGAAATATATATAACTTCTGGGCTAATATATTATTAACAAAAAAATGAGAAAAATGATTTTTCGTGAAAATATACACCCCTGATAAGGAGAGTAAAGGGGGTGATGTTAACTGGAAAATACCTTGAGGAAGTTGATTAGATCCAGTAGGTTTCCCATCTTCTGATGATAGGAAACAAATATTCCGCCATTAGTGAAAGAGTAATTCCTAAATAATATCAGGATTAATTAATTAAATCAATTAATTACAAACTATTACTAAAAAATTAAATAGCATTTAGAACTCAGTCCTAAAAGTGACAGGATCGTATCGAACATTACATCACAAGTAACACTGCTTTGTTCGGCATCTCCGGGCTCTTCGTGGCTCACAACTGGTTCATAAAAAAAACTGTTACAATAGAATAATCTGATCACGATCATGATACCTAAGCGGAAAACTTCAGAATTATGGATATCAAGTTCAATGATTGATCTTCTCTTTTATCAATCTTAAGATTAACTTGATCTTAAGTTAATTATCTTTGAAGGTATATAAAATGCAAACAATCAGAGTGTCGATTGTAAAAACCGAACAGCCAATCAGATGCCAAGAAATTAAGAAATTTCTAATTCAAGAGTTTTCAGCTCTGATCATATAGAAGATAAATAATGGATAGTTTCTTTAAACTCATCACGTTTAGTTAAAAAAGACTCGGCTGTTAAATTATTCTATATAATTATTGTTTATGAAATGCTCTTTTGATAACCATCTTGGATTACTGAAAAAAAACTATTTTTCCGCCCGAAAATAGCACAGAAAACAAATATTTGTTTTGGGTAAAAAGTAGAAAAAGTACGAAAAAGTAGAATAAGTACGAAAAAGTATGAAAAAGTTTGAAAGTATCAAAAAGTATGAAATAAATTGCTTTTTCATGTCCCATTTCATTTTTCCCTGGGGGGGAGGGAGGGGGGAAGAGAGGGTTCGTGTTTTCTTAAAAATATACACTTCTGAAATTAAAGTTTTACAAGCTAAAACTATTTTTATCAATAGCAGTTTCTAGTTGTACTTTTCAACTAGGCAATTTTTGATATTTTGATTTTTAATTTTATAACACACCCTAGTTTCAGTGTAATCGACTTAACGAACCTGGGAATTGTCATGAACGCTTCGGCTAGATTTGAAAAGTTGCTGGCTTGGATCCTCTGACTAACCTCAGTGCAGATATACCATTCCCATTGATTAGCTGGCTTCTGAACCTAAAAAAATCAAATAATGAACAAGGAAAATAAAAGTGATACTCATTGTCAGATTCAGAACTGTCTAGTAAGTAGTAATAATTCAAACTTTGTTAAAGGGGGGGGGCCACAAAACGTATTACTCTCCGGAAAATTTAAACAGTGTTTAAACATAACTTAGAATTGTCGTAGGAGGCTGATTTTTTGCATGCAAACTCAGAATTATGTATATTACGTGCATTTTTTGGTTTTGAAG